ATTGATTATATTTAGTGTTTATTCAATAATACAATAAAGTATTATTAAATAAATACTTTAGAGCTAGGCATTTGATAACAACAAATAAACGAAGGTCGTGTGATGGAAGAATTTATTCAATAATTCGTTTAGCGAAATATTTCGAATTTTTATTTTAAAAATAAATATTATCAATGAAGAGAAATAAGTTACGAAACATATTATAGTTTTGTTCTCATGCATGGAACTTATCTTCAATAATGACTGTACACTCAAAAAATGAATGTATTTTCCTGCCAAATGGTGACACACTTCCTGCATGTAGCACTGATACGTGCGAGGTAAAACTGGGTCAGGAAGACACAAAAAAGGGCAAAAAATGCATCGATAGTTGGACAAATCCTTTAAATTTTATGAATGTAGGCATCACCAAAAAGAATAGAAACGAAATTAAAGAAAAAATGAAATGAAAAGGAAATAAGTTTCACTTTTGGGACACGCTAAGTGTCTCACCTTGTGCATCTCAAGGAATTATGTCTGGAGCATCAAGACATTTTTCTGTGGCGACATACTGTATCTTGAATATGAATTTCAAACTTTCCATTTTATTGATAACGAAAAACAGTTCATCAAAGTTCATCATTCATATAAGACTTATGGCTGTCGTAATGTATGTAAATCATGTAAAATATTAATTATATGTATGACCATAAAATCTTAAGACTTTTCAATCTCAAGAAATTTCCTCTCGCGTCTCAAGATATTTTTTCTGGTGTTCGATATAGCGAAGCTCGTCAGTGCGCTGCTAGCTGTCGTGGTGGGAGGTCGTCTCTTTCCCGCTGCTCCCAAATCTCCAAGCCTTTCTAATGGCTCCCAATGGTTTAGATTGAAAGCAATAATACCTGAATTATTTATCAGGAAAAAGCGTGGTTTTTTAAGGAGGAAAAACTAAAAAAATGAATGTGCGGGAGGACCGAGATTGTGGCGGTAAATTCCGTGGACTTTTGTGAATTTGAGGCCAAGGCATTTTCCCCGCCAAATCTTGAATTTCGGAAAAGTTGTAATTTTACCTGAAAACAATTATATATTTTTCATCGCAATGGAGATGTTGGCTGCATTAATTAAATAGTAATGTTTCATTTTGAATTGAATTAAGCCATGTTTATCATACATGTTCTTTAAATGCGTTCATACATAACATTATAATATGAAATTCAATATATACAGTATATTCATTACATATAATATAATACAAGTCCATTATATATAAAAACGAAGAATGAAATAGATTATCTAATCTTCTGGTGGTACACTATAGAAGAGAACTTCAGCTCGACCTTAAATTTATGTATTGATTATAAAATGAAATGTATTGAACGTTAATTATATTATGCTGAGAACGCGTCATGTGCTCAAGATCTTTCTTTTTATCTATTCTCTTCATCACCATCGACACTAGTTGTCACCCCGGGGTGATTTATAGTTATATGAGATATAGTTTATAATTATACGTATTTTATAATTATAGGGATATAGTTTATAATTACACACACTAGTTTTCATCCCGGGATTTGACTTATACCCCACGGGGGTATAGGGGGGGAAGACTTAGACCCCACGGGGGAAGGTCTGGTATGGGGCGGGGGGCTGTGCCCCACAGTGGGGGGGGGGCCCGGAATGGCTGCTGCTGGGAATGGGAATGGCTTAGGAATGAGGCGGAGGAATCATTCCGAGGGACAATTTGTGGATACGGAGGAGGAATGGGGATAAACTTGGGGTATGATGCAGGAATAGGGGTGACTTATTCCTTGTACATGAGAGGTGTGGGTTTTGAAGGGGGTTGAAAGGGGGTTGAAAGGGGGTTGAAAAGAGGGGTTGAAATTTTTGAAGGGTGTTGACGGAGGTTAAAATGTTTGAAGGGGGTTGAAAAGAGGGGTTTAGGAGAGGGGTTGAAGAGAGGGATTGAAGAGAGGGGGTGAAGAGAGGGTGTGAAGAGAGGGGTTGAAGAGAGGGGGTGATGAGAGGGTTGAAGAGAGGGGTTGAAGAGAGGGGTTGAAGAGAGGGGTTGAAGAGAGGGGTTGAAGAGAGGGGTCGAAACGAGGGGTTGAAGTGAGCGTGCAGGGGTGCAAAATGGGGCTGAAAATGGGGTAGACCAGCATCACCATAAGTCTCACGCATCGCTTAACCGAACTTTTAACGAAATAAATTGAGCATTCAAATTTATTCTCAATAAAGCAATCAAATTTCGAGGTCGGGGAGGAAATTGATAAATACTCGTTAATATTTAATGTATTTATTAGAATCTACAATAAAAATCGTCGTAATAATACACGAGTTGTGCCATTATCGTGCCAGAATCCAGTCTGTGTGCAGGGTGGTAACTGTCGTGTGCTGGTGCGCCGCCTCTGTCTGCATATTTGTTACCCGCAACACTGATGTTGGTTCGAAAGGTAACTTTACAATGAAACCAGTGATGCAGTTGATTGGAATGGTTTGATTGGTTAAAGCAACGCTGTTTTTGGTTTATAAAGCTCGCTTGTTGCAAGCAACGCCTTTTATAGATATAGAAAAACATTCTTGTTGTAAGCAACTCTGCTATTGGTCGAAACAATTACTGCTTGTTGTAAGAAACTCCGCTATTGGTTGAGAAAAACATTCTTGTTGTAAGCAACTCTGCTATTGGTCGAAACAACCACTGCTTGTTGCAAGCGCCACGGCTATTGGCCGAGACAAGGATCATTGATAGCTGCCCTGCTATTGGTGGAGTTGGCGACTATGACGTCACCTGAGAAACATGAGGGGTGTCCCCCCTGCCCCCCCGTCTCCCGTACCACCCAGCACCCCCCCAACAGCTACAGCAGCAGTGTGGGGGGCGTGGACTACGGCAGCTGGCCTTGTAAGTCCCCGTCCGGTGAAAATTCACAGACGCGGCAGCTTCTGATTTGGTTTACCAGAAGCTGGGGCGACTCTAAATTTTGTTAGGGCAACCACCGTCACCATGGCCCCATCAACGATAGAGACAATTTGTCAATTATATATTTACGTAATATAAAAAGTGTAAAAAATATATGTATATATAAATATTTAATAATATAATCAATTTACAAATCGTAAATATAATCAATTATATATTTACGTAATATAAAAAATATATGTATAATTATAAATATGTAATAATATAATAAATTTTTATATCGTAAATACAATCAATTATATATATTCGTAATATAAAAAATATAAAAGATATAAATTCATATATATATTATATTATAATCAGTTTATAAATCGCAAAAATAATCAATTATATATTTACGTAATACTAGAAACAAAAAAATTAAACATATAATCAATTTATTAATCGTAAATATAATCAATTTATATTTATGTAATATATGGCTTATTGACTTGTAATTTACTATGATTATTTATTTTCGGGAGTAGAATTATGATGGTAAACAATGACTTTATTCTAAACTGTTCACGTAAGGTTAGTCCCGGTATGATAAGATTTTTATATGTTGTGCTCCCAAGACCGATAAACCCAAAATATATTTACAATTATTTATAAATCGTTAAGCATATCATAAGCTACCGTTATTTGGCTCGTGATAAAGAAATAAAAGCTGGAATTGATACTTTTTACCCTTCCAGGTTGGCATTGCCATTAAAAAACTATTTTCAGGTCCAGACAATTGCCCGACACGATAAGTATCCTGGATACGCGCCCCAGCAGCCCCTATATACAATATCCCGACACGATAAGTATCCTGGATACGCGCCCCAACAGCCCCTAAATACAATATCCTGACACGATAAGTATCCTGGATACGCGCCCCAACAGCCCCTATATATTGCGGCGCATTGCAATTCAAACACACAAACTTTTACGAATACCGAATTAATTTCATATATACAAATTTGTTCAACACAATCAGATTACTATGAATATTATATGACTTGGTGAATTTTCAATATATATTCCTAATGAAAGTCATCTTGACCCCGCAGCGAGCACGGACAGCCCGGGCCTGTGCGCCATCATCCTGACCTTCATCTCGTACCTCTTCATCATCGCCACGTTCCCCTTCAGCCTCTGCCTCTGCATCAAGGTGACGTTTGCTCACGTGTGGTGCTGTGTGGTGACGTGTGGTCTTTTGTGGTGGTATGATGAGGTTACGTGCGGTGTTATGTGGTGGTGTGATAAGATGACGTATAGTGACGTTGTCGAAGAGAATTTCTTCCTTGTAACCAATGGGAGATGGGCTACAGGTTACTTGTTTTCAGCAGCTTCCGTGGTGCGGGTGAATATTTTGCTACGGACTATCCAGGTTCCTGCGTTACATCCGGCCGTCAAATTGTTGACTCCTGGTAGAGTTTCCTCGAACTACCCAAAAAATACTGGGCCTTTCTCTAGTTTGGCAGAAGAGGGGCTGTTAGTCTGGAGGGCGATAGCTAGCAATTGCAGACAGGAAGGTAAAGAGGCCCGACCAGGGGTATTCCAGTTTCAAGGTGGAGGTGGTCGGTGGAAGGTTTTCGGAGGCGTTCTGAAGGTTTGATGATTTTTGATGGTGAGTGGAAGTATAATATTTCATATGGGTGTCGTATTCTTGCAGATTGAATTCTTTGTGATTCGTACGAGACAATAACGTCCTCTGAGAGACACATCGTTTGGTAATGGCCAGGACTTTCACGATGCACCAGGGACATGTAGCTTTTGTGGCTGCGGTCCTGGCCTTAAGGTAATAAAAACGGAGATTCTCAAACCATACTCCCGGGATTTTGTTTGTCGACTTTTTAGGAGCCAGTATTCCAGGGGTGACGTCAATGTGATTGACGTGAACTAGAGTAGAATAAGAAAATGTTCACAGGTGAGCGCCGAAGAAAGAGGACTCTAAAAAATGGGTCGTGGGTCGGGAGGCAGCTTGACTCCTCCATGTTGACATGAAAGCAGAAGCGAACAGAGGATCGTCTAAAATATCTTATCTTATATCTGATAAGATCTTATCTATAAGATCTTATCATCTTATGGTGTTCTGTGAATTACTAGGAAAAGTCTTGGAGTGCATTAGAGTCCCCAAATTTCGTCTACGGAAAGGATCTTCGTTAGGTCAAAGTACTTCCTCGGAAATGGTAGAGTTGACAGATGTAATTTGGAAATCCCTGGTAAACGTCACGATAGACTGGGTCTGGTTGATTGCTCAATTTGAACTCGATCTATTTTTGCGCGGAAGGGCCTTCAACTTGAAATGTTGTTCCGGAAGTGGGCAGTTCAACAATCTGCTCCATGTGTGTTTCAGTCCCTGGTTGCAGTGTCCAGCCCGTAATCATCTTCGTGTCACCACCCGCAGGTGGTGCAGGAGTACGAGAGGGCCGTCATCTTCAGGCTCGGTCGCCTCCTGAAGGGCGGCGCCAAGGGCCCCGGCATCTTCTTCATCATCCCCTGCATCGACTCCTACAAGAAAGTCGACCTCAGGACCGTGTCCTTCGACGTCCCGCCTCAAGAGGTAAAATTTCTCAACAACTTCTCTTTTCCTCTTTCATCGTCTCGTTCTGTCACTTCCCATCCATTTTGTACCCCTAGCATTATTAGCCTATGCCTGTCTTTACATACCACGTGCACGTTTGCCCTCGAAACGTGTTCATCCACACAATATCTCTTGGCAAATGTAAATTTCTTACAACCCACATTTAAGCGATCATAATGACTAGGTACATTCATAATTGGCATCTACGTAATTTGGACGGAATTTGAAAAAAAAACTGCAAAAGTAGTTCGAAACAAACAACAGACATGTTATGGTCACAATTCCCACGGTGGAATTCCGTGTTGCGTTCGTATGTGCAACAGATGATGTGATGACAAGACTGGTATTTATATTTTTTAATAAAATCGCTCGTCCAGAACTTGCCAGCGGGTTTCCAGGAATAAAATACTTGAGGTGAAACTGGGCCGGAAAGCCTAGCCCCTTTCTCCAGAGCAACACTCAGTTACTCTGTATGATCTACCCAGGTCATTTGATTAAGGAAATAAGTAACCTTAAGCAACAAATGAAGCTAGTCGAAACTGAAATTAGTAAACGCTTAAATTCAACTAGAATTAGCAATAACGGAAGGAAATTGCAACTGAAACTCTTTCCAATATAAATTATTCACAACTGAAGCTAGCTTGAACTGCAACTAGTGACAACAGCTGCTGGTTACAAGCTTACAACTAGAATTAGGTAAAACTGGAACAAGTTGAAACTGAGCATATTTAAATGAGAACCATTGTATTTCACGTGGTAGCCACTTGACAGTACCATTGCAATTCCTCAAATCATTAACCGTCTAACTTGTTAACCTTTGTAAGCGCTCACCGCCCAGGTGAGGAAGGTGTATACTATCATGAATGCCATCCCCCCTGTTCCTGCAACTCTCCATTCTGACTCATTTCTTACAGGTTGCCCGTGCCATTATAATCATTGTCTTTGAACTCCATTTATAACGCATATGATGTGTATACATACAACATATGCCCTGTGAGCGTGTCTGGGTATGTGAGATTTATTACATAGCTCCTTACACACGAACATCGTGGATACTTAATATGATTCTACATATGTAAGCTGTCCCCTCTCAGCTAACTGTGGACATGGTATGTGGTTGTACTGTAAGACCTTTACTGATCAAGGTGCTTGAGAAGACTTTTGAATAAGTGCCTTTGGGTGAATTTTTGTCGTGTCAGTCACCTCAAGTGTACTCTTGATGCTAGTATAGGCAGTAGTTTCAAACTACCTTAATTGTGCAGGGAAGCTGTACAGATGTTCTTTTTCAAACGTCATTAAAATACGAAACTTTTATATTCTTAATCACCTTGAGCATTAAACCTATCAATATTTTTACTACGGTTTGGCAGGTATTAGAAGCCTTACCTAATTAACTAACATCATCTAGTCTCATACAGGGTGTCGCCAATGGAAGCCATGCCTACAATAACTAGTAACTAGGGAAACTAGTGCGACGATTATTGGTAGTGGCATAACTAAAATGAGGCGACTGGTACTAGTGTAATTAGTGTAAGAAAGGCGAACATTACTTGTTGCAAATATTAACTTAGGTACTAGGATGGTTTTTACTCATATTCCTCGTACAATTAATGCTTGTTTAAACTTTTTTATGAGGACCAGTACGATTCTAACTTACCACTCGCCTCATATTAAGAGTTTAGGGTATTACCACACATTGCCAACTAACCTACCTAGTACCTAGTTATACTACCTTTTTTATTTATAGCCTAACTCCTTGTTATTGATCTGCTCGGCTTCTTTAAACTTGGTTTACGTTTCGTTTTCTGTTGAAAAATCACTTTTTTTTTCATCATTTGTTATGCTCTGGTGCGACATAATTCTGTTTATTGGGGAACGGAATTGTCGGGGGCTGGCGGTTAAATAAGGGGGTAGGCCCTATAATCTGATGGTATAGATTTCGAATGAAAATTTCATTACATTTTTTGAAGAATTTTCAAATTATACACATACATCGAATGTTTACGCAATCATTTTGAAATTGAAATTACACTTAATATTATTCAGTTGTGTCCATTTGAAGTTACCGTTAGCAACACTTTGGATCAATGAGTGTTAAGGTATTAAAATCAAATATACTTTAAACTTTTACATGAGTTTAATAAGAAATATAAGGAAATCTTGAATCTCCTACTACACGACTAAGTAAAGTGGATTTGCGTAACAGTTACATTAGAATTTCCTCTTTTAATAGAAAGCAACAGAAACCTTTTCTTCAATCTAACATTGCAACTTTATTTCAATAAAAGATTTAATTTTTCTAGCAATGTACCTTTATTTAAATGGCCAGATTACACATATGTTGGAAATCAGTGAACATTCTGGTGCATATCTTCAAACATATTCGATGTTGACAACCTAGACGGTTCTTTGAACATTGTAACTGATGCATCCAAGTCTCGTACATGAAAAGTGTAATTGATAGATTAAAACGAAGATCCCTTTCCCTATTTGCTTTCTACTATGAAATGTTGATTTTTTCAAACGCATACTAATCGTCTCACATAATTCATTTAAATTATTCTTGTGTTGAGAACGTATATATGGCAGATACAATAAAGGTTCGATTCACATTTGGGATAATTAAACAACATTGCACAAGATTGTCCCGTGGTTCTATTTTCCTACTACCAAATTTCACAATATAACAACGAGGCTCTTGGTAGTGGCAATTTCCAATGTAGAATATTGAAAAAAAGGTTATGCATATTGACTGTCGGTTAAATAATTGTTTCTTTAGGGACATTAAAACTATGTCTCGGAAGTCCGTACTTGCGCCATTTTTCTGTAATCAAGGAAAGTGGTCGTGTTCATGAATATAAAATTTGTCAAATGGAGTCAACGTAACGAATTGGATACAAGTTGGATTTGACTTATGCCATGACAAGCTTGTAAGGTTAGGTTGTCATCCGTCCTCTGAATCGCCTATAAATTGCAGCATAATAACTATTTTAGATATGTACCTAACATAATTGGTAAATTACATATTTTTTCATGCTTCAGGCTCTACACTAATCTAAAACCTATACTAATCCAAACCTGTACTAAATCCCCAAAGCCACTTGATCTAATATTCAATTTTTTTGTCGTATTTTCATTTCATAACTCTTAATGATTTTGAAGTGTCATAGGAAGTGGTTCCGTTCACAGTTCGTGCATAGCAACGTAGCTACAATACCACAGTCTGAAAGAGACACATATGAACGATCTTTATTAATGCGGGATGTGAACATTTCAAGGGCTATTTCCCCCGGATCTCCCGGGCGAGAACAGTTCTTTGGCCAAGGAAATAAAGGTTTTCAAATCTTAATGTTGTAGCTGGTCTTGAATGTTCAGTGGACTAAATAAATTTAATATGTTTAGTAACAAATTTTGGTAAAACTTAACTTCCTCTTGATGTGTTTTCCTAAACTACCCAAATGAAATCCTCCTCTCTTGGTTGTTTTTTTTTAATAAGGTTTTACTTTGGAAGGATATAAAGAATCTATTAACAAACAAATTAAAGCTAATATCGAAAGACATCGGTACCCGGGCTTATTAAAATAGAACGCAGAATCATGTTGACACGAACTTGATTAAACAAAACTTAGGTAAATTACGTACCGGTTAATGTCAGAAGAAGGAAGATCAGCTATTTCTATTAAATTTGACAGCTTTTACACTAAAAGAAAAGTTTTTAGAACCCATTCTAACACGTATTTTAAAGACAATAACATTTCTATCTATTTCATCGCAAAGAATCCAAGAATCAAGGGTCAAGCTTTAAAACACGTCATTCAAATTTGGTAATTTAAAATGGTCGATGAGAAGCTCTGGAGGCTTTTCAAGTTATTGCGGTTGGTGGCACCCTTTTAAATGGAAGAATCCATAATGTTACTCGTTAATATTGAGTTGGCACAAACACCAACGTTAACCGTTTCTCACCTATCCTCTCTTCTTCCCATGTGTTGAACCCTATTTCTTTGTTTGAACTGATGGAGTGCTTAATCCCTCTCCCCATGTCGGTTAACATTGCTTTAGTTTAACATCGAAGCTCATTTGTGTGAAGTTTCGCATTCATATGTAAATGCACATGACATGTATACGTTCATCCGTAGCAATGTGCAGATCTTTCTTTCATTAGACGATGTATTTGGCATATGACGGACATATACACGTCTAATATGGCTAGTTAGACCTTATATGTTGTGTTTGACGGACATGTTCACGTGTAACAGGTGTTGTCTCGGGATTCGGTCACGGTAACAGTGGACGCAATACTTGAACTCCACATTGTGGACGCCATCAAAACGGTGACCAACATTGACGATTACAGGTGCTACCATTGGCAGAGTAGGAACCTTGTCTAATGTGTGTAGGGTACCTTGTCTAATGGGGCTACCCTTGGCAGAGTAAGAACCTTGTCTAATGGGGCGATTACAGGTGCTACCATAGGCAGAGATATAGGTACCTTGTCTAATGGGGCGATCACAGGTGCTACCATTGGCAGAGTAGGAACCTTGTCTAATGGGGGCAATTACAGGTGCTACCATAGGCAGAGATATAGGTACCTTGTCTAATGGGGCGATCACAGGTGCTACCATTGGCAGAGTAGGAACCTTGTCTAATGGGGGCAATCACAGGTGCTACCAATGCAAAGTAGGAATCATGTCTAATGGGGCGATTACAGGTGCTACCATTGGCAGAGTAGGAACCTTGTCTAATGTGGCGGTAGGCTTTGTCGGATAGGGTCTAACTGGCAAGCCTTCCATAGACGGTATTAGACTCTAGGTTGAGACAATTTTTCTAATAATACGGAAATGTGTTCCACCTTTTGAAAGGGGAAGACTTAGTTTGAATGGGAGAATTTCTTTACCGTCGTTGCAATTGCAAAATAAAGATTGAGTCCGCTACCAAGCAAATGCTTTTTAAGTATTTGGGCTGGGACTGAAATATTGTCG